CCCGAACGCGGGGATGGCGCTGCCGGTGCCGCTGCTCGGGGAGGGACGGGCGGCAGCGCTGCCTTCACCCTACAGCGGCTTCTGGTGCTCTGCTTCCACACACCTCTGCCATCACAAAGCAGCAGAAAGGTGTTTCCCAGAGATGCCTCTTCACCGAGTTCTCCCCGCGGTCAGCACTCACGGGATCGCAGAATAACCTCAGTTGGAAGAGATCATCATGATCGCCCAGTTCAAATCATAGTTCCACCCCAAAAATCCCACCTGATGTGCCTGAGAGCATCGTTCACTCCTCTTATGGCTTCTCCTCCAGACCCTTCTCCGTCCTTGTGGCTCTCCTTTGCATGCTAATAGCTTAATGCATTCTTTACGTTGTGGTGCCCAAAACTTCACACACTACTCAAGGTGAATACTGAAACAAGTGAGTGGCTTTTCCATCCTAAAATACTTATTCTATATCATATTATGAAGAATTACACACCCTGACAAATCCCACACTGACATACATGCGAATGGGAAGGGTGCAAAGAGATTTTACAAGCAAAAGTTTGTCTGCAAATAGCCAAACTAAAAGCTATGCTTGGCAGAAGAGGAAAGCATTCCCACTCAGCTCACAAGCCATGGAGAATGACCAGTGGCAGGTTTTCCAGACTTCCAGGACCATCTCCAAGCAGCACAGGAATCCCAGCCGGCAGCAGCAGCCAGCTGGGCACACAGRTATGTTCAGAGCAGTTCCTGGTGTACCAAACCAGGCTACAGCTAAGAGAGACTCATCTGAATCAGTACAAGAACCTTGAGAGCCACTAACTGTTTATGACAAGACTGATGACTCTGAAGCACCACATCAAGTGCATTTTTAAAATACTGTCATGGTTCTCCATGAAAAGAAGCTATTTGCTCCAGCCTGCTTTTACCAGAAGGAACTAAAAGGAACGGCAGGAAAAAAAAACCCTTCTACCGATGGCTGGATCTTCTAAACATAGYTCATATTTGAGCTGTAACTGTATAAACATTTGATCAGAGGAAGAGGCTTGGGGCTGTGGTATTTGGGCTGTGTTSTCTGGTTCAGTAAATGCACACACTGTGCCAATTAAAACAGCAGTTTGTAAATTACCCTTGTAGTGACTTGTCTTTTCTCTCTGTTGCCAGTGATTCCCGTGCAGTCGTTCTCTGCACACTCTGTGTTCAAACACAGCAGCCTTTGCACCTCCCCTCTGACCACAAGTCGTGCTGAAACTGTTTTAGGGCTATAGATGACACAAACTACTTGACCACACATGCTCAGCCACGTACACATGAAAGGAAAGGAGAGAGCATTATATATTTGCACAATGAGATTTTGCAGTCCGGCACCTAGTGCCACAGTGGTTAGATACAGCTGCACACAAAAGCATGAGGACTCTCTCCTTTTGACAAACTTAACAACACTGAAATAACAATTCAGGAACAGACAGGACAAACTGTGTTTCATCAGATATGATCTGCTGTGTGACCACAGAGAAAAAAACCAGCATGGATATTTAATCTGTCTTCCAGTGCAGGAGGAGGTCTAATTTAACTGGGCCTCATTGACCATAAGATACTAATTTGTCTGCACAGACCATAATTTGGGAATCACTGCTCAAGGTAGATATTCCCCTTCCCATTTATAATTTCATTTTGTTTGTCTGTTGGCATTATTCACTTATGCAGCAGAATGACAGATTTGAAGTAGTGCTCTTGCTATTACAGATGTAATTTAAAAATCTGACAGCTACTAATAATTTCTTATTTTTGAAGATTCAAAGTCAGATGAATCAAGTCTCATGCCACACTTAAAGACTTGGGCAGCATAACACTGATCTTAATCAGTTCYTATATTCCTGGAACTTGCATTGTTGACAAAGGCCCCAGAAATGACAGAAGAGACAAATTTAATTTCCTTTCTATCAGCCACAGTTAACAGTCCAGGTAGACTTCTTCAATCTCCTTACTGTTTGTGAGCTCTAATTGTATCACTGAATCCCAATTAAAAGCTTTAAAAATTACTCAGTTACTAACAGATCATCCAGAATAGTTTGTTTTGTGAGCAATCGAAGAATAGGAAAGCAGTAAGACACCAAAAATATTTAAAAATGAACTCAAAGAGAAACACATTTTTATAAGAAGTTTATTTTCMTTTTGTGTGGCCTTTATACAAAGTAAGCAGCCAGAGCTGCCATTTTGTCCTTGGGTTTCTTTGGGTTGAGTCTCCCTCCAGGTCTCCTCCCTTTGCCCCTTCCCCGCCCCTGCCTCTTCCCTTGTCCCCCACGGTGCATGGGGTGCCTCATGGCCGCGTGTTTCAGCTCCACCAGATCCTGAAACACGGGGTCACAGAACACACAGCCCGAGTGCTGGGTCTCATCACCAGGTARGGGGGATTTGGCTTTGTTAAAATCCACATCCACGAGCGCTGCCTCGCACAGGTCRCACGTCTCGGGAGACACCCGGACCTTGTGGGCGTTCTCGAAGAAGTGCACGATCACGTTGCATTTGTTGCAGGCCATCTTCCATTTGGGACCTGACGTCGAGTCCAGCACCAGAACCCCGTTCTCACACTCCACACACTGCCCAATTCCCAGCATGTTAAGGGAATGCTGGCACGTGGGGTGGGTGCACTCATTGCAGCCCATTCCTGGGGGAAGAAGAGTGAAACCACACCACCCTTCATCTCACTACTCACGTTACCCACTTTGAAAAGAGTGAGACACACAAAGCAGAGCCACTTAAGTATACCACAGGCTTTCTAAATCATTAAAGAATGAACTACTCCCCAAATAGCAACTCTTTACAGTTTCAGCATAATCCCCTGCTCAAAATTTTTTCTATAATGGTTTTCAGAATTGCCATATACTGCCACTGTACTGTACAAGCAGTTTAGACACATTAGTGATGAAAACTAATTAGGTTTTCAATTAAATATATGGCTCCTGGCTAACTTATTTTATACTTGAATTACTCACTGTTAGTCCAAGATACTTTTAATTAAAAGATGGTAATAAAAAGATGTGAAAAAGCACTACTTTAAGCAGACTAATTTTCAGTCTCACAGTTACTAAACTCACTGCAATTTCTACCTCTTCTTATATCTTTCAACAACTTTTGAACACCATTTATCTCAGTAACAAAACATTGTCAAGACCTGCTCTTTGTTCATACTCCTATCCAAGTCCACTCAAATTTGCAAGACATCAGTATCCTGGTGTCTTTCAATGCATGCAGAAGGTCACCTACAGTGCATGCAGGTAAATTATTTTCTTACTTTTTTATGAAAATAGAATATTTAAAATGAATTAAGTAATGAATTTTGGACAGTAAGTTTGGTATGAATTTTAGGTATCCGGAGTCTCATTTGAGCAGCATTTTATACAAAGCAACTCTGATTTTAAATCTCCTAAAGAGCACATTGTACAGACTGTATCTAATTTGTATCAAGTGAGGGTGATACCTGCATGTTTACAGAACTCCTACCTTTTTTCATGTCCCTGAAGGGAGGATGGTTGTAACAGTATGGACATAGTGGATAACTCTTTCCTCTGGATCCAGATGACCACAGCACCAGCTCAAAGTCATCCAGGGGACAACGCAGCTCYTTGTAGAGTTTAATGGTACCATTCTGGGGGAGGCTGTAGGTGTCATCACAGTGAGAGCAGTGCAGGCGACTCGGCTTGGCCTGGGAATGGAACACAAATCTCCTCAGCAACTGCACGCTCAACAGAGTTTAAAACWTGCAGTAWACCCAGCTGGACCTGCTCTCTGGTYTGCTCACCAAGTCAAAACCCCATTTTGTTTTAGAAATGCACTCYTGACAACCACATTTGAACCCAAGATCAATAATAGAAAAGAAGTCTCTATTCAATGTCCCCCAGCAAGTGAAATTCAAATTCCAAATATGAGGTAAACTTACCTGAATATACTTCATGAAACGATGGCATTTACCACAGCGGGAAAGGGGTTTGCCTGTGGCAGCCAAGGGTGAAAAAGACACTTCCATCAGTTCATCCATTCCTGCAAAAGGAAAAATGACATTTATGTTACAATTCTAGTTCTTAAGAGGAAACCTTGCACAAAATCATCTACAGACCTGTTAAGAAGTGAGAATTRAAGTGTTTTATTCACAATGTTCTTCCTTGTCTACAAAGACTTCTAAAATATACAGTGTTTTGTACTGAGCATGCACAAACACACAAATTCAGATAATCTCAMGTTTTCAAAAACCAAACACTAAACAGGCATAAAATAAACCTGAAGTASAGTTTTGGAGACATGGTTCAGTCCATCTCCCTTTGGAGAGCAAAATTAATTTGACTGGAAACTTCCAGTCCTGGCATGACTTTTCAGAAAGCCTAAATCTCTGAAAGGAATCTAATAAAAAAAGTATTTTCTAAGCAATGACTAAATAATTGTAGGGAACTTCACACGTAGAAAGTTTTACCTGCAATGGAATCCACAAAATAGTGAAATTTTCTTTTGAAAATGTCAAGGGTGTGCTCCAGGACCTGATGATAATTTGCTTTACCCAGAGCTATTAAATTGAGTTGCTTCTCTACAGCACTGCGGATCGTAGGAAGAACCAATTCTGCATCTAACAGAAAACCAGAGACAGCAGCAATGAAATGTCAACAATGGAGGTAGAACACTGCCCATACATAAAATGACAACAAAATAAACAAACAAGTTTTAATTAGTACAGACTTTGGAATTAGTAATACTTCCCTGGATGCATCCTTTGAGACAGAAATGCTACTTACACAGCGACAACCACCTTTAATATAGTAAAGGAAAAGGAAGGTAAGAAGATGCAAAGGA